ATTGCTATCTTCGTTCCGGTTTCCCTTTTAGTCTCAAGCTTCTAACCCGTGACCGGCCGTCTGGATCTAACACTACTGACCGCCTGCGCGTCACCGGCCACGTGAGCCTTCTCTCTTTTCGAGTCCATCTGTGCGGTCTGCGTTCGCGAGTGGATTACCCAGCGGGGCGCAATCTTTTACCTCTAACCCCCCACGTTTCGGAGTGGTCGGGACGAAGTGTAGTGCAATACGCACCTGAAAAGGGGGGTGAAAAGAAGTAAAAAAGTAAAAATTGCATACTGTAGTCCGGGTTTGGGGGACACACTTGTGCGACGAAGCGCACGATTATTTTAATTATTTAATTTATTTACTAATCAGATCTAAAATCTAGAGCCGGGAGCTACTGTACGCGCCCCGGCGGGGTTCTATATAACTTAGCCCTTTGACCGAACAAGTCAATAAACCAACCCGAGTTGCCGGAGTTAGATCTCGCCTTCGTCGAAGACCGCTTCCGTTCACGAGACGCGCTTCCCTTTTACGCTGCTAACGTCATCCTTTATTGCTCGGGGTCCCATTCCTTTTCCTTATCCTTTTACCTTTTCTATCTCTGCATCTATTTTTCCCTTAATTCAGTTGGTTCCATTGGAATTGGTTGCGACCGATCCGGTGTAGGTGTTTTAGCCATCGGGCAACACGTTGTGTAGCGCTGCTACTGTTTCAAGTTCCGTAGGAAGGCGGTTGTAACGACGCCTCGGTCAAAGGTCTCACTGTATGAGACAGAGTTGGTACCTTCTACCGCGATCGCGATCGCGCTGGTGAGGGTGTTTTTAGCCATCGGGCAACACGTTGGTAGTAGCGTTTCTACACAGTTACGATCCTGTCGGGTAGTGCTGAACAAGCCCCCGTCGAAGACCTTGAATTATACCCGAGGTGCTGATGACGCTCGTCGAGCATTGGCCTTACAACCCAGAGAACTGCGGTTACATTCTCGTAGACAAGCCCAACCCGCACTCGTCGAGCACTCAAGTCTTCACAAGTCTCTACCACCATTATCCTCCCGGGCCGGGTATCTTTCCTTAACCCCCCCGTCGGAGTCGAGCTACCGTGAGCCGCAAGCCCACACAAGGGGAAAGAGAGTCTCAAACGCTCCGTAGCGCGTGCCATCGGCAGTGGTTGTTGTTGTTGCTGTTTTTCTTTTTTTTGTTTGACCGTCGGACTGTGTTCGCGGCCTGCCAGGCACATTGCACTACACGAAGGTGGTTATACCACAACTGTCACCGTTTTCTGGGTAAGTCTTTCCTGCCAGTTGGGCGTTTTGATAAGGAGGAGGAAGAGGTGGGCGATATTGGGGGGGATGATGTGGACGGTGATGGCGGGTAGTTAGAAGTTGATGAAGATGTACCAGTAGAGAGAGTACAGCAAGATGTGCCATGACTTACTCCAATTGCAACCGGCAACTTCACATCTGACTGGCCGAGGAGCTTTATAATTGACGACTCTGTAGACCAGGCCCCTGCGGCGTTCTGCGCCACTAAGCTTCTCAAGGGCACAAAACCAGACGCACCGCTTAGGCAGAGGGTCTCAGCTGTGTCTGTTAGAGAAAGAGGCACAACTAAGTTGAGCAAAGTTCTGCGCTCTGCTCACAACCTGCCTTCATATATGGCAAAGTCAATAGCCACATGGGTTGCGTCACCACGGCTGGAGGCCTGCCGGTCGCTCCTTTTCGGAGCGCGGGCCGACAGAATCTCACCACGAACATGGCCTCTTGAGAATGACCCCTCAACCAAGAGCGCTGTTGCAAGGGAGGCAATGAAGCATTGCCAGATTCTAACGATCGAACAACGTTGCGCGGATTGGTTCGTCATGAGGCAGTTTAGAGTGACAGGAACGCTTGCTGGTCGATTTGTAATGTCAGACAGTGCCGTGCGGCTGCTTCTTGGGCTCGCCGTTTGTACTACAGAAGCCCCGCGACCCCAACAGTTGCTCCGCCAATGCACCGAATCGTGATTTAGTGGATCGCGATCGACTGAGGCGATGATGCGGGGAACTGCAAACGAGAAGGCTGCTTTCTTAGCGCTGGAGGCAAAGGCTTTTGTAAAGGGTTTATTCGAACTTGGAATGGTAGCGCGTAAGGAGGAGTCATGGCTTGCGTGCTCTGCGGACGGAGTCGCAATAATTGACTACATAGTGCTGGGACTGGATGGATTAACAGAGAGCAACGCATTAGGGGGCATCTTGGCCAGTGTTGAAATCAAGTCAAGTGTTGCCTCCAGGTCGCTGGACCGGGCGATGGGGATTGCATCAGCAGATCCCATTACATGCGAGGTTGGCGACGCAACCTTTCGTCAGTACATACCTGAGATTCACATGGGCCAAGTTATACAACAAATACTGGTGCTACGTGTTTGTCTTGCAGTCTATGTATCAGCGTCTGAGACTGGTCTTTTATACGTAGTCATCGTACAGGCGCCGGAGCACGTGTTAAGTGCGTTGGAGATGGCCCTTGCACCAAAAGCAAGAGCTCTGGCCAGCTAGGCTCATGGACCTTCTGATGGCGATCTAGTCCCTCCAAATTTTGCGGATGCTCAGAAAAAACGTCTATTAGAGGACAAACTTTCATTCTGGAAGGTCATAAACGAAGATATAAAAGAGAGAGGGCCGATGCCTTCTATCAAGGTTTTCAAGCACGGAATACAAAGTCTGTATTCCAAGACTAAGGGGGAGGTCGATGGCACCGCCCACGCGCGCGCTGTTATGCACTCCTCGACATCATCTCTCCACTGGGAACAGAAGCTGGTTAGTCAAACGCTTAAAAACCTAGCCGTGAATGCATTTACGTCATACCGACTGCAGTGCAAGGCTCATCTTCTGGAATCGCGAGACGTTTTTGGTAGAATGAAGAGATTTAGAGACTCCCTCAACTCTGTCCAGTCTCTTGCTGACTTTATCTAGGATGTATCAGGCGAGCTTCTTCAATGGGCTGATAGATTGCAGGTCGCGTCAGCAGTTCCAGATGTGATGAACTCACCTACAGGGAGCATTACCAAAGCTGCTGTGCAACGGCTGAGCGCACTATCCAAGTCAAGAAAGAGGCGCCAGTTGATTTTCTTTAATGGGCAACACTGTATCAAGCTTACGATGGGATCTATGCACAAACAGAAACAGGTTCGCAAACGTTTATATTGTTCCCTTTTGGCATTAAACACACGTCTCAGGCTTCAGATGTGACAGAAGCGGCAAGCTCTGAGGCAACACCCTCTTTCCGTGGACACCGATCTTCACGTAAGTGTAACCTTTGCCACATACACTTATGTGTTGGCATCTATCCTGGATTACGGAAAAGCTGCTGGTAACTTTGGTATTCTAAAGCTCGTTTAGAAGCACGCGAAACGCTCGCCCCTAAATCCCCTAAAACTCATCCAGGTTTCACTCGGGGCGCCCCTGACAGTCAAACCGATGAGGACCCTATTGTGACACCGGTGGTAAGACCTCGAAAGCGCGCGCGAAGAGCTTCGATTCGAAACGCATGGGCTTTGTTATTGCAGTTGTCCTATTCCCATCGTGGTCTGCACAAGTCTTACACTTTGTCTGAGGTCGCAAGTCTTAAACCTATGTCTATTAAGGACTTATGTAAACTCCCTGATAAGTGAAGTGTTCTAGCATTTTAAACAGTGCTGGCTGACTGTAGTACATGTAGTACATATAGTGCACTACCCCACCTTGTGTCCGTCGCAGATTACGGTACGTGCTTGTGGTTTAAGACCTGTTTCATAGGTCGTTGGCAATGCATTGCCAAGAACCTCAGGGTCGAACGCGGATCAAGTGCAGCACTATAAAGCAGCCATTCAGTGCACTTCTTTGCGCAAAAACCACCTTGCTATGGATCAGTATACTGATCCTTAGCCGAAAAGGGGGTATTTTTGGCTCCCGGAGCAGTCCCTTTCGGGCTGCCTATAGCCCTGGACCATCCGCTCTGTTTTTCTCAAACTCTTTTGCAGATGTTTATACTGCTCGCAAACTACAACATAGTTCAAGGGTATTTCGTGCAATGAATTATTGTCGAACTAGTGCGCATTTTAAATTTATGGATCAGTATACTGATCCTTAAGTTGAATGCTAGGGATATATCACTCCAAAAGAGCTTTGAAAGTTCACCTTGACTCGATGCGCCCGTGTAGAGGGAGGGGACGCGACACCTCCTGCTTATGTTAATTTTTTTTTTTTTTGCATGCGTTCGATTGCTTGTGAAGCAATATTTCATTGGAAGAAACATGGGGAGGGGAAAGTGCTGGTCAGCTATCCACATCTCCTTCCAGATACAGGCATACAATTCAACTTTAAAGTAGTGAAATAGCATGTGTAATAATTTGTACCCCTTGTCTGGCCGGAAAGAGGCCATGTTTGGTCGAAACTTGCCTTCCATGCTACCTACTGGTGATGCAATCTCGAAACCTTCCACGATGCTGAGCAAGATCAGTCCGAAATCTGTCGAAGGCCGCCACGCCGGTTGTGTCAGGGCGTGATAAATGATGCTTTCTGGGTACTGTACCTTCGGTACTGTCAGGATTACAGAACGCCTTCATTCCTCGACTCATGTATTCAGAAGATTGAAAATGGAATCACGTGCGCTGCTGTATTGTGCATCTAGCAGCACCCTTTTGTTGTAGTTCCTCCTCCCTGGCAATTTTGGAGATGCACACTGCGGCACTTCTCTCGATATCGTTTGTCCGATTACCTCCCCCGCACGGAATCCAGCGGCGGTAGTACAACAAAACCTGTGGATGAGTACTCGACTTAAAAAGTTTCAGTAGAAGGATGGACTATGACAGTTAACTCCAGACCTCACACGCTTTCAAATAATTCTCTTTATTCCGGTACATTCATAGGAGACGTTTCCATCTCGGTCAAGATCAGGAGGCGCGGGAAAGCCGATCCTCCTTTTTTTCCTTATCAGTCGGTCTGCGCGGCCGCTATGTACTGAAGATATTCCTAATTTATTAGTTCTAGTCGGTCACGGGACATCAGCTAACAGAGGACACACAAAGGCTACGCAAACCATTAAACCGAACTGGAAAACATAAAGAAAACATAAAGAGTTTATTGTGTATGATGGGAGTTTTGCTATTTAGCGCCGGTGAAGAGAAAGAGACATGATGAGAAAGGAAACTACCGAGAGGGCAGCGCAGCCGGGGCTGGGCGAACAAGAGAAATAGACATAGCCAGAAGAGGGGGGGCTGGCAGGAGGCCCACCGTGGCGTATTAAGTACCACGGAGAAGCGAGGCTGCGATATGAGGTAAAGCTCGGTTGGCTGATAGTAATTACAGCCCCTCGCTATTCTCCGGGGAGTTGCACCCCTATACACGCTAGCGTGTACAGAGACGCGTACACGGGCGGCGTCGCGATATACTGCCATCTTTGATAGTGCCATATACCCTTTAGTGCTAGAGTGGTGCTCCTCAATAGTTCGCAGTTGAATAGTTCGTTTGGTCAATAGTTCGCCTTTCGGACCTTGTCACGCCGTCTCAGACGTGTACACGTGTACTCGTGTAGACCGTTGTGGTCCCGACCGTTGTTTGAGGAAGTGGAGGTTTTAGCAGAAAGGACAGGTCTTATTGCGGCCAGCGAAGGGCTTCGTCGGGCAAAACGAGTCTTTTTCGAGACCTACCGAGAGCAGACAAGGAATAGAACACGGCAGACAATCATTTCAGAGCATTCTAAGCAATAAATGGACATGTGCCAGAAAGGCGAGCATAATAGTTCGTTCTGTCAATAGTTCGTATCTGTGGGTCCTGGCACGGGGGCGAACTATTGAGAGGTACCTACTGTAGTCTAAAGGCCAGGTCACCATTCCTTACAGATGTACACGTGGATGACCTGGACATGACCTCCACAAAGTACATCTATGATTGTTGAACATCGCTACTGCATAATCGGGGTGCCACTCCTTCCTCTGTTCTGGCCAGCACACATCCCTTTTTGCTTGCAGCCTGCGTGGTTGCCGGCAAAATGCGCGCTTTTAGGCTGCTAGGCTAGAGGCTTGCAGTGCACAATGTGCGGTCTGGAGGAGAAGTCAAAAACAAGGATGCGATCGAGGCCCCAGCACTTTTTGGCGGCCCGAGTAAACTATGCTTTTCTCTAACTCTCTTTTGCTTGTCTCGAGACCAGGTCGACAGTGGGTGAGTTCGATCCACTTTAATGTGCTTCTTGATCGTGTCCAGGTCGCGTTGCAAAAGTTGTGCCGACGGATCCATAATAATAATTAAAGTAGATTTCGTATAAACTTGTCTTGTGTCGTGAAATCCAGGGGGGAAAGATAAAAGAGGTAGTCTTCCGGTGAGTGTGACGGTATCTAAAGGATAGATGTTTCGCGCAGAGGCGCGGGGGGTCTCGCGTCCGGACGCGGCAGCAAATGTTTGCCATAGAATTTGTGAATACTCACAGTCGGTCTGCTTTTAATATTCTGTCATTTTCTTGTCCTCGCTCTACGAAGCGGTAAGGTATATGTACCGGTGAGTAACGTGAAGGGATAATTATGGTTGTGTCGCTAATGCAATCTGGAGAATTGCATTCACCCCATCTCTGAGGGTTTCGCACGCTCTTTGAGGTATTTCCTGTTGACAGCGCTGATGTCAGCCTGTCAAACCTAACAGACAGTATTAACAGAGACCTGATGTTGACATCAGGCCTCTGTTAATACTGTCTGTTTCTCCCCTGGTTATCAGCAGCTTGGTTCTGCACGTGTTCTGTCTGTCCACGTTTCCAACCTGTCCACGTGTGTCCGTTGTGAGCGCACACGAGTGTTGCCGACTGACAATCACTTGCATTTCTCTACATCTCGGACCAGATCGACACCCTTTTGCTCTCAGGATATCTGCCACAACAAGTTGACCATGTGAAGTGCCAACCACCAGGATGCTGGAGCGGTGTATGGATCATTACAAGAGGTGATCAAAGATACCCTGCCCGTATTTCGTTCCCTCACGTACCCCTCTGAAGGGTGCACTGTGATGAGACTAGATCTTACTTGTCTCATCCGGGTGTCTGTTCCGCTGCAACATCTCATGCGATGAAATGGACCCAAACTTCTGGCTACTGTTTACCGAATGCGGCACAAGGGACGATTCCTCTGTGTCATAAGTGAGCGAGATAAAGTAGAGATGAGGTCTTGCGTTGATAACCGGTAGCACAGCGGCAACGCAAGCGGAGGACGGTTGTACAGCGAACGGAGGGCAATACCACGGCAAGAAAGAAAGGACACAGTGTTTCCTCGGTCGTAGCTCGAACAGATTTTCCGAAAAAAGCTTTCGCATTCATTAACGTTGTCCGTAAAATAACGCGTTTTTTTTTTTCCATTTGCCTACAAACTCGCTGGACGTAAAGTAAACCCGAGTTTGAAAAATCCCACCACGAGTTTTGCCGACTGACCTCCAGCAAAGTACCTGCCCGCAACAAACGCAAGTCTGGTACATCGTTGTGCCGCCCGACGGATCACGTGCACCTGCGCGAATACTCACTGAAGCGAATATTGCAGCTCGCTACAAGGATAGAAAGGTTTTCAGTCGAAAGGGCGATGTGTTTCGTCTTCTTGACAAGCTGAGGGGGGCCGTTTAGAGAGGACGTCTTTTTAGAAGCTTCTACTTGTCTATCTTCCGCGGTTGTTTCGGCGGCATCTGTGGCAGATCCTGTCGCGCATTGATCCAATGATGGACTCTGCGCAGATGAAGCGATAGGGCGTCCATGACGCATGACATATCGATACGACCCGTGCCGTCTGAAACTCGTTTGTGCTGATGAAAAGAACGGAAGACAAACTTGGTTTTTCTTCACGAGGGGTCGATCTGGCACTGCTGTGATCACGGATGTGAAACTCGTGGAAAACTCACATGCCCCGAGTTTTCGGTATGCTGTGAGTTTTGCCAAACGCATTGTTTGAAAGATTTGCGTTCAGAAAATCCGAGCAAACTCGCCGGCTAAACACGCGTTTTCATGACTTTACGGACAACGTTATTGTTAAATTTGGGCTCGCAGTAGTTTGTCCCGCCCAGTACGTATGCACTGTAAGTATTGGTAGAAGCCGTGGACCTCACGTGCGTTCATGCCCTTCTAAATTTTCCCGTCTTACGATCACGTGGTTGTGGTGATAGCGATGAAAGAAGGATGGATGCAGTGGCGGAGACACGAAATGACCTCTCAGGCTTCGAGTTGAAGGCCAAGAGTGTTCATGACAATCCGTTCTGACCACAGAGCCGAGCCGCGATACATCGCACAAGGGTCATGCTTCGAGACTGTACATTTCTACATAGGTTATGATACATGTTACGCACGGCTACAATGAAAAACTTAGTTGTATGCTGTATACTAGGCGTCCAAAGAGCTGTGGCCGGTTCTCCTTCAAAACGGCGTTGAACACTTCTCCTTCATCCATCTCGCCGAAATTCACGCGCTCAGGCCCATGATGGACTCTGCTCGCTTCAAGATAAGCTTCCAGGGCACGCTTCTATCAAAAAATCCCAAAGGAGGCATTGTTCTTTTCAACAGCCCGATTTGATAGTCTTCCTCAATTTCAGGGCGTTTCCTACCCCTGGCTAGCAAATTATCCAAGTGCGACCAAGCCTTCACCCTCTCAGATGATTTCCTATTCTCACACATCGAGTTCCACCTCAATCGCTATAGCGTTTCTACACGTCATGATATAATATATCGAACAGTACATCTAATAATGCTTGAAAGTTTACAATACACAGTTTGAACTCTGTATGCCGTTCGATGCGTGTGCAATGCGCAAGGATTATTTTTATTGTTGCCTCAATTGACTTGCGTACAATGTCACAGTTCAGTACGATACCGCGTACGTGAGGTGAAGGAATGGCATTCACATCCGCACCCGTCCGGACTTCAGAACTCGGCACAATTCCTCATTCTCACTTCGTTATCAGAAAAGCTTAGTTTTGGGCAGAAAAGGCCGCCATGACCTCATACAAAGCGAAGATCCTCACAACAAATAAGATATGGCACTACAGTACAGCAATGCATCTGGGCGAGACTGACTCGTGTTCTCCCTCTGTGATTCCACACAAACACTCAAATAAGGCATAGCCTTATTTATAGGCGTACGATATGACATAGAGTTGGTAAATATACCGACGCCGGCGGCCCCCCGCGGTCAGGGGGACTCCGGCATCCGGATCTCTTGGTTCACAGTGTGAACCACCCGCGATTTCATTAAATCATGTTTTTGCGCGCAATTGCGCGCAAAAACTGCCAGATAATGCTGCAAAATGAAAAAATCACCACCTCGGCCTTCTTCAGGCGACCCACCGATAATCGCGATCAACCATCGAAATCGAGATCCCCCATGCCTTCCTAGGGTCCCTGTAGCCCATCTCCATGCAGTGTCTCCCATTGTCTAAAGTCGTTTCTTCATGAAGAATCATCAAGTTTCTCAGTTTCTGCATGAATAAACAAGCAAAAAGCAAAAATGAAAAAACAACCCGAAATCGCGGGCAAAAACGTTTATTTCAATACAATTCTCCTTCTTTGGTACAGTACAGTACCTTGCCATCTTTATAGACTGTACAACAGCGCTGAGACCCACATTGAGTGCTCCCATGGCGATCCGCGATTACGCGCCTCTTTGCGGGCCGCCTACACCCCACCGATGTAAGGTTTGAACAGAACCCCGCGAATGGCGGTGGACGAGAATGGCGGTCGACGATACAGAAAACCACAATGCAATATTATAGATGCAGAGTTCTTTGAGTGTATTCACACTCAAGAACGCTGCACTTATAATGATTCTCTAGCCAAGTATCACTACATGTGTCACTTTAACAATTACGAAATGTACAGTATTGGTACTCGTGACATTGGCTTCGTGCAGTCTGGCCGTACATTTCCAGTATTCTGCGTGTCGCCCCGTCCTTCACTCGCACTGGGAAAACGAAGTTCTATAATCAAGTCACGGGGAGGGCCATGAACAATTCCTTCGTACTGTGCTCTTCTGTAGAAATGGTTCATTGCCCCTATTTGCATACAGAAAGCATACAGTTCGCCGATCTGCCACTTATCTGACGCAATTCTTCACCTGCTTGGTGTACATATTGAATACAGATGACAAGGTTGCTGTCTTCATTAGAAAAAGTCTTCATTAGAAAAAGAAGCACACTTTATGAACCTGTAACTTTGAATGTTTCTGCAAGTAGCGCATTTGACAGAATAGAGAGTTTACGAAGCAGCAATTCTACGAAAATTCTCGTTAAAAAAACAGGATTCAAGACAGGTGTCTCAAAGAAACGGGATTTGCCCCCGGGTGCAGTTTCAGATATTCGTTCTTTCGCCTCCTTAACGAAATTAAAAATAAGTAGAACTGGGGCACCCACCCCACAAGAGCCAATTTGTATTCTGTATTTGGCG